TACTTTACAACACGATCCAGAGACTGTACACAGCTCCCTTGTGCAATGGGAAGCCAACCGTTCGATGCAATGCCTGTGGATGCATCATCGGCCACGGTGATATTGCTCATTCAGCATGGTGCATCAAATGCAAATGCAAACGGGGAACGACGAAGGGTTTCCATCTGTCACAAAGACTCTGTGGGGATTTGGTCTTCGGCTCTCTTTCCAAGCGCGTTGCAGGTCTTGGCTTGAAGGATGTGGCCTTTCTGGAGACACCCAAGCCTGAATGCCTACTAAGTGTTAACAAACTTTCCACGGAGATAGAGGCGATGACCATCGATCTTCCTGAGGAGCATAAGGAGTGCAATCCTCTGCCAGCGCTGAAGGATGAAATGCAGAAGCTGGTGGACGGTGTCTCTGCCCCCATCACAGATGCGCACATCCTATACCTGGAAAACCAGGCGAAGAAGACCGGCATCTAAGGCATGGTGTGGGGTGTTAGTACGGTCTATTTGGTGGATTGGGATTGGAGTGACGATGGTAGCAAGGACGACATGGGACGCTGATAGGATTGAGATCGCTGAGTTCCAAATTCATGGACACACAGCCAAACGATGTATATCCGAGACCAAACACAGGTTGAATTGCATCGTTCTGAACAGCCCGATTAAAAGTGCGTTGGCCCAACCTTGACTGGTTGTCGATACCGATGATATTGAAGCGACTTTTGTTTGCCCTTCAGCAGTGATGTTTCAACCGAAGGAACGAAACATCGATCAGAAGATCATCCTGGTATAGGAATCGTCGAAGAACTCCACATACCACTAAACAGCGCAGGAATTTCTGATTCTCCTCGTTTACATACGGTGCTCTTCCCGGCCGCCGACTCCATACTGAGCACGACTCGGCAACCCGCCCCACGTCAAACACTTCACGGACCACCACGAATTGTGAATCAAAGTGCCTCACCTCGCTTTCCCCGCTTCCCCAAAATCGAACTTCGGATTCATTGTACAAAAACACGGAACGCCGCAAGCATGTCGAGAGAAGAAACGATATCTGATGATGGCAGCATAATTGCAGACATCTTCAAGGAAGACAAACCCGCGCCCGTTCCCCAGCCGTTCTGGGAGTGCCTCAATCCCGCCACCTCGACGATTGAGTGCGGAAAGGCCTTCAGCTTCGACCCGATTGGCGACCTGACCCTTAGAGTTGGCGAGGATGGAGTCGCCTACGAATTCGTCGTCTGCTCCCGAACACTCTCTCGGTGGTCACCGGTGTTCCGCACCATGCTCTTCGGTGGCTTCGCAGAGTCAAGGCCTGCTGACGCCGTCTGGAGCGTCAGCCTACCCGAAGACCTTCCCTCAGCCATGTTCCTTGTCCTGAGCATCATACACGGCTGCTTCGAGCATGTGCCGACATCACTGAGTCAATTCGAATTGTACCAGACGCTGGCCGTGACGGAGAAATACGACATGACAAAGATAGTGCGGCCTTGGGCGGCTCAGTGGTTTAAGCCATACAAAAAGATTTCTTCAATCGTGGGCAACGAGATACTTCTCTGGGTCTGCTGGGAACTCGGATATATAGAGAACTTCCGCTCGCTTGCAAAAGATCTTCTTCTCAGCTCCTCGGTCAATGACGATGGACAGCTAGTTGGCCACGATGGGGTCGCCCTAAGCACGTATAGCTGTTTAGAGCCACCCGGAATCCTTGGTACGTCTGGTTCCAATTCTCTGACTTCTTTCATCTGACCTTCGTTCAGAGACAGTCACGAACCACAGACAAGAGCTTGTCAGCCAAATGATCAATGCCATTTACACCATGACTGACGTGGCGCTCAATCAGCCAAAATGCCGGGGTTTGGCTGGAGGCAGCGAATGCCCAAAATGCGGAACAAGGTATAACATGGCCATGACCGCAAAACTCCGTCTAAAATGTGCCAGTTGCAAGAAGCCAGGTACCGCTGATGAGTGGGTGGTTCTGAAAGCTCCGTCTTTGACCTTGCCAGCATACATGTGCAACACTCTAGTATTCGGCTCTCTTGTCAAGCAAGTTAAGAAAGTGATGGGGCAAGAAGTGGCGTTGATGAAGACGCCAGTACCTCACATTAAGCTTAGCATCAACGCTTTGCTACAGTCGATCAACGCTATGAGAATCAGCCTGCCTGAGGAGCATCTGAGTTGCAATCCACTACCAGCCACGCAGGCCAAAGTCCAAAACTTAGTAAAAAAAGCCAATTCTCCGGTTACAGAAATGCACTTGGAGTACCTGAGGAACCAAGCGGTGAAAACTGGCGTCTGAGGACTAACGGCCGACAACATGGATGGAGTCGGAGAGCATGGGCTTGACAAGGTTAGCAAGGACGATATGGGACATTCGGCTGGATGAAGCTGTGCATGTCGTGGAGACTTGATATATGTTGATGGTTCAGTATTGTGAAGTCCTTCCGTATTTCGAACCATTTGAAAGAGCAGTCATTCCCTGATGGTGGTGCTGTTGCCATTCTCACGTGGCTGAGCAGACCAGTCGCAAGTAAAATGGGAACCGAAAAGAAAAGGCTTGCAAGGCATTACATTTTAATCCACTTCCTATTGCCAGCTAGTCTTGTTGCTTTTTTGCCCTTGTCATAATCACTACGCAAACAACAGGTCTATTCCAGCATGTGGTACATACCCACTGAATCTCTATCAATGCTTGCTGGCTCAGACTTGCCTTTACGACGTCATTGCTTGTAGCCTTGTTTATAGAGCCTAGGCGCATGCCTTCCTGCGAAGGGTTACTGCGATGCAGAAACGCACAGCGCGGGACTCATGGCTTTGGCGACCACCAGCTCGGAAGTATCTGTGGATCATCACAGCCAGCTCCTGGATGCACTTGCAACCTAAGTAGAACGTCAAGGAGCGATGAGCGTAGTGCCCTTGGTCTTTCCGCTTTCCATCTTGGCGGTTCTTGAACCGAATTGGATCTGCTGAATGGTAAGTCTCCTACTAGACTCCGTCAACTCTCCGTTGGGAAGGGACTTACAGCTCTCTTCTTCTCCCGAGCAACGGAAGTCATGCCGAGTGCCTCCGCCAGGAGCCTCAGAACCCTCTTCCCGGGCTCGGTCTCTCCTTCCACCTCGCCGCGGCCGTAGTCGCACTTTTCCCACACCGGACACTCGATCGCCCACTTGACGAAGTCCTCATCCAGGTACGGGAACCGCACTTCGCGGCTCCAGTGAGCCATGGCCCTGTCGTCGCGACCCAGGTTGCGTTTGCCGAGGCGGCCGACATCGAGCTTGAGCTCGTCCAGCAGGCCTGGGTAGCCCCTCCTTGAGAATGCCGTGGCATGTCGAACGTAGCCGCCGAAAAGCTCATCTGCTCCGAGACCAGAGAGGAGGACTCTCGCTGGCGTAGCGTAGTCGACCGCGGTGTCGGAGGGGTGACTCTGGGACTTGCCGACGCCCCGGGCGGCGAAGTAGAGTGCGTAGGCGATAGAGAGATCCATCTCAGTGTTGTGAGGGTACATGAGGGAGATCACTTGGCTCCGGTGGGCGAGGACTTCTTGGTATGGAACGTCGACCTGCTCCTGGTTAGCGATTGAACGCGCGAGGTAACGTGGAGGGGACTTACAGCAATGAATCTCCACCGACGCTCCGGACAGACTGCAGCCAGCTCGGCAAAGGATTTTCTCCCGGTAATTCTGTCGGGACACGCCTCGTAGAGGTTGACGCCGGCGGCAGAGTTCTCCGCCTTCGACGCTAGACGGGGGTTCTCAAAGGCAACGTTGATGAGGTCGATGCCTTGCTCCGGCGGCAATAGGTCACTTGCCATGCGCGCCAGGACTGTGCAGTCCAGACCACCTGAGAAGAGTACAGAGATTCGCGTGTCGTTTCCTGCATCGTGGACTGGCGGCTCTGGTACATTCAAGACACGCAGCTTGAGCGATTCAGTCAGCTGTTCTCGCAGCGCCTGTACCGATGAAGAGGCCGCAGTGAGCGGCGGGACGTCTGATGGCGGCATTGTAGTGTTGAAGACGCCAATATTGAGGACCTATTATCGTAAGTAGCAAAACGAGACCAATCCCGCGGCGGTCCACGACTTACCGTACCCTCCTGCTCAACAGACCAAGACCGAGGTGTCAAGGGAACATTCGGATCGCTATCGAATGACGCGAGGTCAATCACGTAGATGCCATCCGCCTCGACCTCTGACCACTCCGGCGACGTGCTCTCCGCGATGCTAGAAAGCCTCAGCCCATCCTTCCGATTGAGTAGCAATGACCGTCTTCCCAAACGGTCGCGGCCCAAGTAGAGCCGAGATGACGAAGCGTCGTAATAGACGAACGCGAATGGCCCTTCTATCGTGCGGAGCGCGTCCAGCACTGCATCTTCGCCCGCGGCACGGCTACTGGCCGCTACCAGCAGGGCGAAGACGACCTCGCCATCGTTGCCTTCAACGGGCTTGCCTCCAATCTTCCAGGCCTCGCCGTTCCAGCAGAGCACCGAGCCCGACGACGCGTCGCGAAACGGTTGCTTGGTGACATGGCCACCGCGCAAAGCCAGCACCGTTGATGTGAAGGTCAAATGCAGGGGTTGCGCGTCGGCGCCAGAGGTTACTGCTTGGGAGCGAACTTCACCAAGATGGTCCGGACCGCGATTGCAGAGACAGGTGCGTGTTTCTGTTGGAAGTGCCAGGGAGTCGTCGCGCGAGACGACGACGTGAATGCCACACATCTGGGAGCCCTATGCAGCCCTTTTCAAGACCACTGGCGCGTTTTCGATCCGAAAAGAGTCGTGCAACTCTGTCGCGCAGGCTGTGGATGATTCAGGAGGTAATCCAGTATCGTGGTGGAAAAAAGACGCTGCTCCATGCTGCCGGAGATTTTTCGGCGCGCCTACAACACGCACGAGCCACCTGCAACAAAGTGGATGTGCCGTCGCACAGCACAACAGACAATGTTCCGGCCATCAAAACTTCATCTCATTCATGAACAAATAAGATCATGAAAGACATGTGCAAAAGCTCAAAAAACTGTTCCGACACCGAGAATCGAACTCGGAGCTTGACGGTGAGAGCGTCAAATGTTAGCCATTACACCATATCGGAGGCTGACAGGACTGCCCGATATTTCAAACCATGAAGGTATTGGCTGCAGATCGCGGAAACACGTCACACGTGGAGCCTCTTTGCCTCGCTGTCAAGCTGTTCAGGCAAGGGAAAAGGCGGGCACCGCAACAGAGAGAAATGACTTTGGTAACCAGGACTTACCCTGATGGAGAGATAAGCACCACTTCCACCCTGACGGGCTTTTGGGCTCTTGCAGGGAAGAACATCTTCATCGAGGACGTTGCCGTGGCTGATATAGGTGTGGCGCCGTGGCTGGTTTTCGGGCGACAGATGTGCCCTGGGTAGATCAATTGCTTTGCGCTCAAACCACTCACTGGTGAACAGATGTCGAACAATGTTAGGGATTGCTATTTGTGAAAATATCGCATGGTATTGTTGCAAAGTGCTGCTCTCCTCTCCCGCCATGTTCGAGAATACTCTCAAGTTGCGCCATCCCCGGATGGCGCAGCGGATGACGGGAGCGAGCGGGGCGCGATGATGAACCGCATCGACAGAGCGGGCAGATGACCAGTCTCTTCCGGGGAGATCTGGGGAAAGTCCCCATTTGTGTTATGCAATTGGAACGCGAGCCGCGAAGACCCGAACTTGGCGATCATGGTCAGCCCAGCGTTGGCCGACAACATCACGCCACTCTCCAGACCACTCCCATCAGACGACAGTGCCATCATCATCGGGCGAGCGCAACGGCTCTGCCATTGACATAAAATGGCCACTTTTTCCCCGGAATCGAAATCGACGCTAGGACAGCACCATCGACAATGGCTTCAAGAAAGACATGCCAACAGCTATGGCGCATTCAGCCCACCACAAGCGCTCTCATAAACCGAAGCATCACAAAGCCCGCAGCAATCGGCAGACTTCTGCCGGCGGCGACAGCAGCACTCCTCCCGAAAGCCCGACTTACAACTCAATGCCGGCAATCAAGTTTCTCCTCATTTCAACATCAAACTCGCCCATACTCAAGCCATTCTCCTGAGAAGACAGAGCACCCGATTCCGAAATGGACTCCGCCGAAGGACCCCACTTCTCGGCCCGTGGTAGTCCTCGGCGCGGGGGTCCTTGGCCGCCGGCTCGCGGTAATGTGGGCCTCGACTGGTCGGCCCGTCATTCTGCAGGACATCAATGAGAAGGCACTCTCGTCTGCTGTCGTCTATGTCGGTGACGCCCTGACGACTGTTTGCGCGGTCCGCGAGTCACATCCCGGCCGCGTCACGACGAGCACTGTCCTCGAGGAATCTTGCGGCGCCAACCCCTGGATGGTTATCGAAGCACTGCCTGAAGACCCCGAGATCAAGCGCGAGATGCTTGGAAAGGTCGACTCGCTTGTGCCAGAAGACTGCATTATCGCCTCCAATAGCTCGACATGGCCGACCTCGGCTCTGCGAACCCTCATCTCTCGCCCGGAACGCCTTCTGAACACTCATTACCATCTTCCACCACGCAACACCTACGTGGAGCTGATGACCTGCGGAGCCACCGACAAAGATCTCATGCCCTTCTTGAAAGAGCAGATGCGGAGCGTAGGCTTCAACCCGCTTGCGTTGCCCCATGAGTCCGTCGGCTTTGTCTTCAATCGCATCTGGTCTGCAGTCAAGTCAGACACCCTGCGAGTTTTACAGGCAGAGCTAGCTTCACCCCGAGACATTGACGCGCTATTCCGAGACTTCTTCCACGCCGAGAAGGGACCTTGTGAGAAGATGGACGAGGTCGGCCTAGACACGGTCTGGCAGGTGGAGCGGAACAGGGTGAACATGGGCGTCGTGGATCCGAAGAAGGCGGGGTACACGGACTGGCTGGAGGAGAACTACATCTCAAGAGGAAGACTGGGAGAGAAGACCGGAGACGGACTCTACTCTGCGGAAGAAAGAAGGTTGTTGGCCCAAAAGAGAGCATTGGCAAAGAAGTCTTATCTGAAGTTGCGCTAACGAGTTCATCCATGTCTTTCTAGGTTGCTTTGGAAGGAGTTGGAATCCATGAAGGAGGGTGACAATGGCGCTTAGGCAGTCGGTATCATAATGCAAGCTTCCTTTGATCTAAACTATCCCATTATTCTATGGTCTTGAAATATGACTATCGTCCACGTTGTTAGGCTATCATGTTTGAGGGCACTTGTTTTCCTATGAGCTGCTTATGATTTAGGGGAGAATGATCTAGATGATTCAGCATCTTGACTTCCTCGGGAGGGGATATCATAAGCGCAGCTTCTGCCCGCGAAGACCTCTTGAAGAAGTTCTCCTTCTGACGTGATCGGAACTTGTGTCATCGACGGATCAACCTTACATCATCAACACAAGATGGCCGACAGAAAGAAGAGGTGCACAGGATCTCCTCGGACGGATGCAATCGCCGAGTTCTTATCTGCACGGGAAGCCACCGCAGCCCTCCAATCCGAATGCCTTTGGCTGCTTCTTACTTATGAATCGATCCGCCTCAGAGATGAAGGTTTGCAAGTTGACGGAACGCAGCCGCAAGCGACAGACACCTTCGACGACCGAGGCATCCTCACTACAACATCATCAGCTGCAGATGATGAGGCAGACAGCCACACCATGCATGACGATGCCGCCTTCATCTCGCCCCCCTCTGCGGCTTTGGCGTTCAAGGGTGCCAGCTGGGACTGCCTTGGAGATGCAATGAAGTCCCTTTCTTGTGGCAAGGCCTTCTACTTCGACTCCCGTGGCGACTTGGTTCTGAAGGTGGGCGAAGCCTTTCCCGAAGGCGGACGCGACTTCATCGTCTGTTCGAGGACTGTTGCGCGATGGTCCAAGGTCTTCAACGCCATGTTCTTCGGCGGTTACGCAGAGTCTGCCTCTTCAGCTCGCGACGGTACGTGGACAGTTGCACTGCCTGAGGACAGGGCGGCCCCCGTCTTTCTCATCTTGGCGATCATTCATGGCACTTACCAGCCCATACCGATGGTTTTGGGACGCGATGAGCTCTTTGACCTCTTGATAGTGACAGAGAAGTACGATATGACACACGTTCTACGACCGTGGGCTTGTAAGTGGGTTCAGAATTTGCCCCTCGATAACTCTGAGAACACCACGGGTCAATACCGCGACGTGTGGATTGCATGGGAGCTAGGTTGCGAAGCTAGCTTTTGCAAGATGCTCAAGGACATCTTGTGGGACTCTCGCGTGGACGATTATGGTCAGCTCATTAACGTCCACGGTGTGCCTCTGAGCACAATTCCATGCCTGGAGCCCTCCAGCATTCTTGGTATGAACCCTATCGGGCAATGTTCCTGTCCGCCGAACTACTACCATCATTATTCCTTTTTGATTCACAGACTGATCAGGATTTGCAGAGAACATTTCCATCAAGCGAGCAGAACTCATAGAAAGGATGATCGACTGTCTCCGCCGAGCAATGAAGACCTCCCTTACAATGAGTCGCTGTGAGGAAGAACTTGCAGAGATACGCCATTGCAATTGCTCTGACGTTAGATTCGAGAATCGATCCGCCTTCATAACAAAAGAGGACTGCGACGACCTATTTCTTGGCAGAATTATTCGCCGTATTCGAGAAATGGGATTGGAGGAGTTCGTTCTGCCGCGCGCCACCTTCTCTTCGTATCTCGGAAGTATTCATGATCTGTCAGATTTGATCCTACTCGAAGATGTGAACGGACACGTTGAGGGCCACGATAGTTGTGACCACTGGATTATTGTCCAAATAGAAGTTGAGGAGATGGTTGACAACTTGTCGTCCCCAGTCACGGAGACGCATCTTGAGTACCTGCGAAACCAGGCCAAGAAGACAGGTGTGTAGATAGACCAGACTGCGTTCAAGAAAGAAGAGTTGATAGACACGGTTTGTGACTATACAGAAGCAAGAATAAAAATGTATTGGCTATGCCTTTTGAGAATTATGTTCGGTCAGCTGCTTTCACTGCAGGCAGGCTTTGTTTTGCTCCGACACTAAGTAAATTACCGACGATTACACAGGTGAAATGCCTCCTCAATCTCTATAGCTACTAGTGGGTGTCATTCTGGGACTGTATGAATAGAAACGGGCTGTAGATATGACCCATTCGTGGCACTGAACGAGGAGGGCGCTAGTTAGTACAGTTTGCGCGGGAGAAGATGGCAGTATTTTCTCCCTCCAAAAACAACTACTTCCTAATTGGCTTGCTGTCTGAGATTCACTATTCTGTCTTCGGTCTCCTTGTTTCGTTTTCGTTGTCGTCTATATGTTTTGTTGAGTGAGAATATTTAAATCGGAACTCATTACCTATCGCTTCAACCGACGTATTTTTCGTTTTATGATCACAGCATTCATTGAAAGTGGAGAATAGAATTAGCATGCTGCGATGATCACCTAGGGTAGCGCAAATATCATTGGGTGGATGAGGTGCACCTCATTGTGGCCTGTCCAAAACGCCGAGTTCTAGGACTGCACTTTGCGGCTGCTTTGCCTCCCAGCTGGAATGGTAGTATAGTGCATGCATGTTACCCATAAGAACAAAACTCGATTAATCGTGGCCTAATTCACTGGTTGCCGTATTCTCGATTTCAAAGCTTGATCTTCGATGGTAGGCCTCCTGCATTAGCTCGAACCCCAGCGAACTTTGGAATGACTGATTGGCCATGAACCCAAGCCCTGCCATTCCTTACCCGTCGTATAGCAAGGGTGCCCAACAGCACGGCACACTATAAAGAGTCACAAAAAGCCGTCGTAATACGTTCATTCAAATCTACCACATGGTTCACGCGGCGCGTCTCTCGAACTTTACTCAGTCGGTATCCTGCTGCCCTCATACAACCAAGTGCAACATCATGAGCCAAGTCCACGATCCATGGGATGGCCTTTTTGATCCACCATCAGCGTCTACGAGTGAGAAGAAGAGGAAAACGACTTCGAGCCTGTAAGTATTTCTGAAGGCTCATAAATGAGGAAACGTTGACGAAGTTGCTCCGTCAGATACCCACCACAAACCTCCGGCTATTTTGAAGACCCAGATGTCTGGGAATGTATCA